AAAAAAAAATTTTTTTCTAGCATAATTAAGGAAAATTACTAATTTTTCTGACTCCGTCAAAAAACCTTGTTAAAGCCTCTTTAAGTTAGTAAGAAACTAAATTTTTCTAAATTTGCGATTTGCTATGATAATTTCCCCTTGGTGGCCTAAAATATAATATACACAAGTATCTAGAATATTTTGTCGATATCGCAAAAATGAACGTTTTTAACAAAGTACAGTCTACCCTGTCAAAAACCGGTATGCAGTTTTGAGAAGTTTTTGGATTTAAAAAACTAATACGTCTTAATGGATCTACTAGTCATGTGATTGTGGTTCAATATGACTGGCTAAATATTATCCAATCTTGCTATACAGAATTAATTTAATTGGCTAAATCAATAATAACGGATTTACCAGATTATATAGCAACTATATAATAAATATATTTTTTGAATTTCGGTTATCAGAAATGGCGGGTTATCGGATTTAGATTATGAAACGAACATAGTGGACCAATTTTTTATCAGTTATAGGAGGTTATCAGTTTTGACAGGGTGAACTGTATTTTCAAAATGCCTGAATATTAGGGATTATGCAAATAACCAAAGCAATCTGATCATAGTAAGCTGACGGATAAAATAAATTATTATATACTTATATAGCTAATAAATAAAAATTAATTATTAAAACCAAAATTATAAAATTTTGACATATTGGTCTTATCAATTTCGAGTCGGGTTTGGGTTTATGAATTTAAATTGAAATCGATATAATTTGTCAAGAGTTAAGTTCAGTATAATTTAATAACTTGCAAAATCATTAATTAGCTATTGCTATATGAATGTAAGACAATTCATTGAAGAATTTTTGTATATATTTTTTAGAATATCGATATTACATTACGCATATGTGGCAGCACCAGAAAGCTGGCGATTTTAATGGATTTTACGAAAGTTCAATAGCTTTTATAGCTAATATTACAGCTAACTTTGTTTAGAGAGTGTGTGCTGACTAATGCTTTGAAAAATTTACTTCTTGTAATAGTCAGTGGAGAGTCAACTTTAATTTCCGTAGTTTATAAACTAAATTTAGTGGTGAAAAAATCTGGCAAGTTACATTCATCCTTCCAGCTATTCACCTAATAGAATTCGAAAATTAATAAAAATACATACCAATACACATTATAAATAGTAAGATAACTATAAATAGTCATGAAAAAATACTAACAATTTTACCTATTGATGTCACTTCCTAATTACAAACTCTGAAGTTGGTAATTTTGCAATAAATTCACGAAAATAGTCTTGAAAGACATCTGATCTGCTCTCATCGGATATTGATATGTTATATAGCATCTGTTTCCACTCTTCTAATATGAGTTTATTTTCTTTTTTTTTTGTAGATGATTTTTGAATTATATCTGTATTATGATTTGCATTATCTGCAACCTCGATGATAGGCATCACAAAGGTCATTTCAACATTAAATAATTTAGGTAGATAATATTTGAATAATGGTATTAGAATTTCTACATTAATGCATTGAGTGACTATATCTAAGTGTGATGGCAGGAAGAAATTTTTTGTATTGCAATAAGTCTTAAATATGTCACATATTTCTTGGAAAGGCGTTCGACTCATTCCGAGGGGAATATCAACGTTAAAGCCTTGAATCTGTTGGTCAATGTTAACATATATTTTTAAAATATTTTCGAAACATCGTCTTGTTATTTGAACATCAGGTCCAAATTTCATGAGAATCCATTCATATAATTTTAATGGTAATAGGCAGAACTTGTTGTTCCAATAATAATCAATTGCGTTATTAAATATTGCTTCTGGGTTATTTTGCGCAATCGTGTAAAGAAAATTCCAAACATAAGGTTTGTTTAAATTACGCTCAGGTCTTATCGATTCGATTAAACAATAAAATAAAAAGTTTTCATGAGATTCATCTTTGATTACTTTGAATGATTCTGCCAAAATTTTTCCAATGTCACTTAATCTAGTCTCAAATGAATACAAGATATTGCTAATGACATTATAATCCAAATTAAAACCTAAATTTATCAACTCAGTAAATCGTTCAGAAATAATTTTAACGTTAGGCTGAATCCATTCTGCGGAAGGCATAGGAGGAAAAAGAATAAGTAATGCACCTTGCATTACCAGATCGTTTACGTCATTACAGATTTCATAATAGCCAACTTCTTTCCACATAGAAACCAACTCCTTGCAAATTAAAATTGCACGTGCAATAACATTAAGCTGACGGTTATTTACAAATTCGTCCTTTGGCGGGTATTCTTCAGGTTTAGACAGATTTGGAGGAAATGGAATGAATTTTTTATGTAATATTAAATCTTCAATTGCATTCATATTTTTTATCAAAATATTTCGAGCATGGTCAATATGATGTGGGCCACCAGTAAGAAAGTAGAAAAGTTCCATATCATTCCCTTTCGAACTATTACTCAAATATAAAGGTTTTCCAATAAAAATATATTGTTGATCTAAACTATTGGAATAATTTGAATTAATTGGCGTATATAGATCTTTATTATATATAAGCTGTTCTAAAACACTAAGTACAACATTGAGCTCTGGACGATTTGCTGGATCTTCATCCCAACAATGCTCATAAAGTTCAATATATCTTAATGGCATATTTTTTATAGATATTTCTCTTTTTCCTTGTGAAATAAGGAAAACTATTTTTTTTACTGACTCAGTTTGAAATGGCACCTGACAGCTTGCAATTTCCCAAAAAATGACACCTAAACTATATATGTCAGACTTTTTATTAAGCCTGTATGAAAAATCATTAAATAACTGAGGGTCAATGAATGCTGGATTTCCGTAAATCCCGCGAGATGAATCCAAATCTTCCACATAGACAGACAAACCAAAATCAGCAATCATCATCTTTCCTTCATGAACTAAAATATTTCCTGTATGCTATAGAACATCATATTAATTATTAAAGCAAGTGTTCTTAATACCATAGAGTACAAATTAATAATATGATGATAAATTGACTTACAAGATCCAGATGGACAACATCCAACTTATGCAAGAACTCGAGGCCTAGAGCGATTTCCCTAGCCATACGAGCTTTATCAACCCATTCAAGCTTTGAAAACTTGACTTTTAAATATTGTCGTAAATTTCCATCTTCAGCAAATTGCATAACAATATTATGACACCCAAATGAATCTATTAATTATGTTAATAGTTAATTCTAATTTATTGTGAAGTATACCTATACAATTAGTTGTACCAAAATAACATACTCTTGGTTACTCCATAAAACTCAATAATATTAGGATGAAAGCTGATTCGCTGTAAAATTTTAAGCTACATATTTTGTAAAACGAAAAATTCAATCTTTAATTTATCATTCAACATAAATTAAGGCTGTGTTCATTTAAATTAAATAGTACCTCCTCAATTATTCTAGGATTTTTATCATTTTTTAGGCATTTAAGAGCAACTATGAGTTCATGAGTCTTCCACCAAACTTTATGCACATTTCCAAATTCTCCTTCACCGATCTTCGCAAAATCCGTAAATTCTTTATAATCATATTCATTAATATGCCCTCCTTGAATAGCATCTTCAATCCACTCCGTCAATGAATCTAGTTTTAGAAATTATAGATAAAATAAAAATATAATAGATAAAACAAGAGTAAGTATGTGTAATAAAATATTTTAGCACACAAATACCTTCAGCTTGAGAAAACTCCATCGTCAAAATTTGATATATCTATTTTTATTATTAATTAAGATAGCATCTAAGTGAGAAGTACGCATAATTTGTAAGGGACGTTGAGTTACACAGATTGAGAAATGAACTAATAGAACTTCTTTATAGAAGAGTTATGATACACACAATTCGGAGTGCAACGCATTATAAATTGTTAAACTACATGCTAAATTTTTTAAACATATTTACTAGTGCTATCATATGGATTTAAAAAAGTATCAAATTTGGCTTGAAGAAGCCATCTCAAAAAAATTTATTAATTATTTTGAATATAAACAATTTAATAATATTCATAAGATTGGTAAAGGTGGATTCGGCAAAGTGTATAAAGCTACATGGAAAAATCTTGAACTTACAGTCGCTCTTAAACAAATAACTACTGTGAATTTGGATGATAAAGTTTTTAAAGGCTTTATTAATGAGGTATATGTTACTTATTATGCGAAAATTGATTTATTTCCAACAACGATTAAATATTTATTTTCTATATATAGCTTAAATTACTTCAAAAAATTAGCTTTCATCCCAATATTATACGATTTTACAGTGTAACTAAAGGTGAGTAATTCATGAGATTCACTGTTGTAACTCTTTAATAATTTAGAACTAAATTTTTCTTAAACAAAATAGATCCATCTAATGAATGTTATAAGATGGTTCTGCAATTTGCTAACAATGGAAATTTACATGAGTATTTAAAATATTACTTTTCAAAACTTAAATGTGCTGATAAACTACGCATTGCAAGAGAAATAGCATTTGGCCTTGAATTCTTACACAAGCATAATATTGTTCACCGAAATCTTGTATGATAATTTAGCAATAATTTGGAACTTTTATTTTAGTTGTTAATATTTTTTTACATTTACAGGAAGCGGAAAATATCTTAGTTCATGATGGAAAAATCAAGATTTCAGTTTATTCACCTATGAATAGTCTAGATAATATACATAAATATAGTGGAGATAATAATGATAATGAAAAATATAGAGTTTTGCCTTATGTAGCTCCAGAAGTTTTACTTACTAAAAAATATATATGCGAAGCAAATATTTACTCCTTTGGCATTCTTTTCTACGAGATCATGTTAGGCGCATCCCCATATCATAACTTCGATGATTTGGAAATCAGAATCTGTAACGGTTTAAGACCAGAATTTCCAAAACACGCTCCAAAATTATTTGAACAATTAACGACTCAATGTTGGAACGCTGTCCCTTCTCAACGACCAAGAGCCGTTGAACTGAAGAATATATTAAATCGATGGCATTCGGATGTATATAATGATTTGCAAGCAGAAATAAATGATCAGTGCAAAAAATATGAAGATTATTTAATGAGTAACTTACTAAAAAAAAAAATAAGATCAGATAAATTGACTGTCCGTGAGGGTAATTATAATGTAAAATGTTTTATTTTCTGAATATGTTTAGATATATAATTTATTGTGGGTTTTGTGTCTTTTTAGTTAAGAAAATTAAAGATGATCCACTTATAAAATATAAATTCATTCCGCCTCAAAATTCAATGGAAGACCATATCATTGTTTTTGAATATGCTGATAGTAGAACCTTAAGATCATATTTTCATAATAATTTTAGCGAATTTTCCTGGGATGATAAAATTAAATTTGTTCGACAGATTGCTGATGCTATTTACTATTTGCACAAAGAAACTATTCATCGTGATTTGGTAATGTTTTAAAATACACATCAATAATAAATTCATCAAAATTTTTATCGATCAATTTGAACAATACCATAGTGCATTGACAAAGTACCCCTAGTTAAAATGCCCGGGTATTTTACAGAGCATATTTTTTAAACCGTATATAATAACCGAGTATTTTGCACGAAATTTTTCTCTATTACATATATAAGCCCGTGCATAGTACCCCAGACAATATACCTGTTCCAAATAAGATACCTACAGGTATTTTGTAAGTTTTTTAGTGGATGCTTTGTATTAAATCCCGGTATTTTAGTCAATGCAATACGGTGAATTATTGTCATAATATATAATACATCCAATTTTATTAATCCCAAATGTTCTATGATTTTATAGCATTCAAGCAATATACTTATTCGTCGAAGTAATATTAAGATTGCAGACTTTGGAATTTCAAAGAGATTAGAAGCGACAAATTCGAATTCAAATCTACATGGAGCTATCGCATATATAGATCCACAATGCTTTAAAAGTACAACATTAAAAAATGAAAATTTTAAATTTAATAAAACATCCAACATATATAGCATTGGTGCTTTTATGTGTGAATTATTAAATGGTCACCCTCCTTTTAGAAATAAGGGTCAAATTCAGATTGGTGCGTTGATTTTGGATATTGATAAAGGAACTCTAGAGAATGAGATCGAAAGAACGTCATCTGCATATATAAAGCTCAACAAAGGTAAGACTTATTATTATGTTTAATTTATTAGATTACTTTAACCAAAAAATTTAATTATAGATTGTTGGCGAAACAACCCTGATAGCCGTCGAAGTATCCAAAAAATTGTTTTAGATTTGAAAGTTTTAATTAATAATAACGATCAAAATGAGACTAGCACTTCTCAGAAACTTGAAACTTCGCAAATCCTTAACTTAATCAATCAAAAAATAAACGAATACAAAGAATTACTTTCAGATTTAAATAAGTCATTAAAAATTAACCCAAATAATAAATTTGCATTAAAAAATCGTGAAGTGACTTATCAAAATTTGGGCAGATATGAAGAATCACTTGAGGATTTGAATAGTTTGCTGGAAATTGATCCAAATAATGCAGGAGCGTTAATAAATCGTGGACAAACTTATCACATAATGTGTAGATATGAAGAGTCGTTAACAGACTTAAAAAAATCATTAGAAATTGAACCAAATAATATATTGGCGTTAATAGCCCGTGGGACAGCTTACAGCGTAATAGGCAGATATGAAGAATCAATTGCAGACTTTACAAAATGTTTGGAAATTGATCCGGATAATGGACCCGTTTTGGGTTACCGTAGAAAAATATATGGTATGATGAGCAAATATGAAGAATCATTTGAAAATTTAAACAAATCATTAGGAACTAACCCAAATGATGCTACCGCACTGAACGATCATGGAATAGCTTATAAAGAGATGAACAAATGCATAGAGTCACTCGTGGATTTAAATAAATCTTTAGAAATTAGACAAAACGATGCTATGACGTTGAATAGTTGTGGATTAACTTATCAGAAGATGGGCAGATATGAAGTATCTTTTATAGGTTTAAGTAAATCGCTAGAAATCAGACCAAATAATACTGTAATATTGATTAATCGTGGTTTAACTTATCAGAAGACGGGAAAGGATAAGGAATCAGCAGGAAAAGCACTGGCTGAAGCTTTATGCAAAAATACTACGTTGACTAATTTAAATTTACAATTGAATAACTTGGGTGAATCAGCAGGAAAAGCACTGGCTGAAGCTTTATGCAAAAATACTACGTTGACTAATTTAAATTTACAATTGAATAA